CTCTGCACCTTCTAATGAAAATATCATCGTTAGAATCATTGCGAAATTAAATTTGACTCTTTTTTGTTGATTTTTCGGAAATCACGATCATCAAACACATTTTAGCAAAATAATGTAAAATCAATTTTATAAGTCTGACAGTTAAAACACGAAAATGATCGCTTATTCACACGTTATACAAGGTCCACGGGCTGAATAACTCTTGTCTAACATTTCATACAATTTTCACAATGGTTATAACAGCTGTATACGCGAGAAATGTCAAAAGTTGATTATTAGTAATGAGTCTGTTATACCTCTGTTATAAGGTGTGTGCAAATCTTTATTAGTAAGGGGGTAAAAGTTTAAAGTACAGTTACAGACAGAGTAGGATGAAGTATTGGTGTGAAATTACCTTAAATGCCAAAAGAGGTAGTGTCCGATGGTCATGTTCTTAAATGCCCTCTTGAGCAGAAACACTGAGAGGTCACACATCAGGTAGGACTCATGTTTCAGCGCCTGTACCAGCTGCAGCAGGTATAGAAGGAGGTCGTTGTCACTGTGGGAAGAGAGGAATCATTTAAATAGATTAGCCATCGAGTATTTCTTTTTTAATCATTGTCAAACACTATGATTGATTATCTTCTGGTGTAGTGAGTGCGTTTACAAACATACACATCACATCCAGATCCGGAACAACAATTTGTGGATTACACAAAGAGTTGTTCTGTGCGGAAATCGAAACCGCGACATGTCGCGCGGCAGTCAGTTACCCAGCCACCGCGCCAATCGTATCTTCAGCTTATATCTGTACACAGCTAAACGTAGGCCTATCTATTAGCATACCACTGGGTGACTGATGGATGATGTCCATTAATTGAAAAAAACTTTTTGTAGATAATGAAGCCTCACCTTAACACTAATAAGAACCGAGCAGCGAGTAAGGCCGCATAAGAGAATGGAAGAGTGTAGTACCTGATCTTCCCGAGACATTTGACGGCGAAGCTCCTGACGGCGCAGTCAGCGTACGCGTAGTCGAGCAGCTCGAGCGCGGCCTCGACGCGCAGCAGCGGCCAGGCGGCCAGCAGGCGGCGCACGGCGGCCGCCTCGCCGCGCTCGCCCCACTCCACGCACGACAGCAGCTTCGGCAGCAGCTCCGGCGCCTCCGTGCGGAACCGCTCTCTGACCAAACATAACACTTTATAATATCCTTCTCTCCAAAACAACTTTTTAGAACCTAAAGTAAAAGTATCCGCTCCTTATAAATGAGGTTGCGGAGTCAAAACCTTGCCAATGTGACTTTTTAGGAGTATTTTTATTACGTATCTATTTTCTCAGACATATTATGTAAGAAAAATACTCAACTTCATAATTTCTTCATTATAGAAATTGTGGTGATTAATGATCAAACCTTCTCCAAGTGAGAAGAGGTTAATAATAATGATCTTTTTAATGCAAATACCGATCCGTCGGATAAGCTATATGGCATAATGATGCAAATCTCATAGTTTTAACTTTGAAAATAATTCCTACTAACCTCGAAGCCCAAATGTCTTTCTTGTCCTGCTCGTGCATTTCATACATGGGGTCTTTTTCGGCAGTCGCCCGTAACCTGTCGTACTCCCTGCTTAGCCTCTCCATGACCTCCGGCGACACCGTCTCAATGTTCTCCGAGTACTCCCGCACTGTCTCCTCTTTCGGAAATAACACTGGGTATTGGCAGTCGTAACTGGAAAAAGACGTGCAATTTTAAATAAGTAATCCCTTTGCCCCTTGTCATTTTATAAAAACTTACCTTTTTCTAACTAAATTACTTTTTGTAGTAAGACCTTTTATTATAAACTATCGACACTGCCCGGCTTCACACGGATGCTTTGCTGATACTAAATTTCTTTACTATTTAATTATTTAATAAATTTCACTATCCATAAAAACAATCTTCTTCAATTACTCTCTATAAAAAAGTGCACCAAACTCTTTGCGTAGTTTTAAAGATTTAAGCATACATCTATACTTACCTATATTATAAAGAGGTATAATTGGTTAGTTTGTATTTTAGGGGTAATCTTTGGAACCGCTGGTCGGATTGCCAAATTCTTTCACTGATATATAGCTCTTGAGTGCTATAGGCTTTAAAATATCAAGCTACGATCAAATGGAGCCGAGCAGCGGGTGAAACCGCGCGAGAGTAGCTAGTAGGATACGTGTAGAGAGAGAAAGATTTATTATACTATTTGCCTTTTACATAGAATTAACCCTATTCTCTGCTTTCCACATATGTTTAACAAAGTCTTCAATCAATACTTACTTAGAGAACTTGACCTGTAGAGCTGCACAGGACTCTCTGAACCCAGCTATAGGGTTGGAGACCACAGTTCCGAGTGGATGTAGAACGAGATCGTCTCCTTGAGTGTCGTCAGCTACGTGAGTCCACATAGAAAGAGTCACTCCGTCTGTGCGAAGCTGTTCCTTATAGTCAAATACCATGGTATTCGCCCATGTCAGTCTATTTATTACCTCCTGTAATACAGAAATAAGTATAAATAATAGGGCAGTGTCCAAATCGTCAAATTCAATATTTTTTGTTAAACATTGATATTTTGTTATGAATTTTATATGAACTAATAACCTACGACGTCATAACCTTTAATTATTTCAAAATAACTAGAAAAACAACTGAGTTTAACATCAAATTAACTTATCTTCTCCTATACCATTCAAGTTTGCTTTACCATTTTAGCGAACTACACTTGCCAAGTGATGTAAATATAAATGGAATCGCTCTGCTCAACAAGTCCTAAGTGCATATGAGTTTTAATAGCAACATTACTAATAAAAAAGCGCGTATTTTACTTAACTTTTCAATAGTGATAATATGTCAAAAAATAAGACAAAAGGTACGCGACCGCTGGCATTCGTTAGGGGTTTGATTAATGAAATAATTACTTGAATCAATTTACCTTTTAAAAGCTGTTTCATGTTTATCAAAGATGACATTATTTATTTTAATAAAGTAGACGAAATAAACACTTTGATGAATATAACATACCTTCCCCTTCTTCTTGCTTTTAGTCTTAGAGATCTCGTAAACACCGAAACAGATCCTGGCCATCCGTGGTATATTGGAGACTTTGATAGGGAATGTCAGTTCTTCGTCCCAGACCGCCGTGCCGTCCGTCATTACTGCCGGCTTCGTCTTCTGTGTCTCACAGAGAGGTCGGCCGCCATGGAATATACCGGCTTGACATATCACCTGCAATTTTAATTAAATTATAAAATACTGAATTTTTTCATCGGTAGCTTATTAGTCGGCCCGGAAGTTAATGAGCTTCTTATGAATGAGGGTAATTCGAAAGGTTTGGGCCTCCGGTAACCTCACTCTAACGACGAAACATAACGCTGTGATTATATCACGCTGGTTTTCTGCGAGGCCGTGGTATCATTCATGTCGAAGCATGCCTCTCTCACGCTTATAGTATATGTGGTCTTATTATAAAAAAATATAAACAATTGAATGAGATTAATTATTGATGTTATTATTAGATTTTTTTGTCTGACTAAAACCTTAATTAAAATACTTTATTTGGAGCAACTACCAGATCTATATTATTTTTTCTGATAACTTGGTGACTTTCTGCCACCGGCACAAGAAAACTATGCTTGTTGTTGTGATTTTTTTAAAGTAGTGGTTTTGAATTAACATTGAGTACTCACAGTTGCACCATTTCCAGGATCCACGTTAAGTTTGCTAACGCTCTGCACCACGCAAGAGTAGTCTTTATGAATATTCCATGAAGATTCATTTTTCTTCCGTCGCATCGTGTTTGAATGCTCTGACGTTAGCCGTCTACGCTCGGGCAGGCAGTAAGGGTAGTAGGGGAGGTCTCGACTTACTGTTTTGGGTAACATGAAATAAGAATAAGTATAACGAATAAGAAAAAAATGTATACAATGTGATAATCAATGCTTTCCGATACCCTGAGTGCGTAGTGCGAGTTCGTTTACGTTGATGCGATCGATATTTAGCATTTTGATTGGTTGGTTTACAAGTAGCGAGCCAAGTGAAGATCCTAACGTCATTATATGTCCCTCAACGTAAAACAAACTCTTGCAAAGCACTCAGAAGAATTACGGTTTAAACGTAATTTTATTCAGATAACCATCGCAAAAAAAAACTGAACACTAATAAAAAATCAGGTCACAACCTTTCTTCAAGAAAACATCACCAAGCAGCCCAAAAGAGCAAAAAAACAACTTAGATCACCAACTCACGCGTCAGCGGCAGTTTATCCATGCTGACGGTCATAACTTGCGGCACTCCGTCCGTGGCCAGCATCTCCTGGATGTACAGGAACTGGATGAGGGGGTAGTCTCCGAACAGGTACTCCTCGCGCCCACACACCTTCAGCACGTAGTTGTGAGGATCCTCCCCTCGCATGTTCAGGGAGTTGGCCAATCTGCGTAGTATTACCTCGATGTGCTGTTGAGGCGTTCTTGTCTCTGGGACGCTCGTTGAAAATGATACCTGGAATTAACAGCACAGAGGTTTCATTAATAATTATCATTTTAAGTACTGTTTATTAGTTGCGGGGTTACCGTAGCCTTGCCCTAAAGCAGGAGAAGAAAAGTGTGAGTCAGCCACTCCCTCTCTCCTCACCCTGGGCGAGAGAGAAGTAATTAAACGATTTTCCCCTCACAAAAAAGTACTAGTTATTCATTATCATAACTTATGGATGAGGAATAACAGACGTAATTCAAAATTCGACATGATTTTAAGAGCAATCCTTGTGATTCCTTTGTAAACAAGTTAAGGGTAAGTACTTTTGAAAATAAGTCGAGTCAGATACCTAGCAGAAAACCACACATACTCAATTCATAAAATAATTGGAAATCGTATACGGCCTTATATCTTCAGCCTCATTCGATACAATGGAATAATTTTAAAAACTGAACACGTCAAAAATTGACTAAACCTGTCACTGTGTTGTTGTCACAGTTGTTTGAAGTGAATAGGAAATAAAATGTTAAGATCGCATCTTAATTTGATTAGGAGCGGGAGCGACACGACGGAGGAAGCAGCTGAGGTAGAGACAATAGATGAATCTGTGAAAGAAATCCCTGTGAGGTGTCTCCAGAAGTCTCAGGTCTGCGGCCGACTCAGTATGTTAGGCAAGACTGCTTCCGGCGACGGGTATGCTACACCGAGATACTATTACACATTTATGTCTCATGACCTCTATTATAATTACACAGTAAACATTAATTTATCTATAATATATATTAATTGGTCAACAGGTACACATATTTAAAATGCAAACTTGCAGGAATGAAGTTAACGCGTATCGACGCTATACGGAGTTTCAAGAACATAATGTTCCTGGATGTTTCCAATAACTGCCTGGATATACAAGCCCTGCAAGTGATCGCAGAGCTACCCTACTTGATACTCATACACGCTGACGACAACAAACTCTCCTCCGCAGAATTAAAACCAATGAAATACTTACAAGTCATCATTTTTAACAACAACCAAATCGCATCTATTGCGGACGTGCATCAAGAACAACTAAGCACATTAGAGCTTGGATTCAATAAAATAACAAAAATAGATTTCAAGTCTAAAATGTCGTTCATGAGAGTCTTGGATTTACGAAATAATTTAATAACGGAAATCCCGCCTTTAGAGCTTCCTAATTTGGACAGCTTATATCTAGCAGGAAATAAAATTAAAACTCTGGCTGGTATAGAGCTTCTTGTCAATTTGCGAATATTACATGTGCGAAATAATCCGATCAGGTACCTGGACGGTTTCAATGAGGATCAAGGGAAACTTCAATACATCAATTTGAGGAATTGTCATGTTACTACATTGAGACAAGTGAAGAAGATGAAGGTAATGTTACTCCATTACACGCTACGCCATTCGTAGGACTTAATGTTTTACTTTCTGTTGTTTTGTATTAGGTTCTTAAAGCACTTGACACCCTCGTCATGAAGGGATGCCCTTATATGGGAGGAAAGGGCGAAGAGGATGCAGAGAAAGAGGAGGAAGACGACCCTCAAATCAGAGTAGAGTTGTTAGCGACTTTACCGCGGCTTAAGAGGATCAACAAGGACATAGTTACACCGGAGGAAAGGTAATTTTTATAATATATTTTATGGTCTGGGATCTAAGACATACTCAACAATAGTTTGTCTTATTTTGAAGTTTTTTATTATTACAAAAAGAACTTAATTTACGGAGCCTCAGAACTATGTAACTTTTTCCTAGCTGTGAGAGGCTAGACGTAAAATTAAAAAAAAACTTTTGACGTAGTGGTATCCAATAAGGGTCTGTATGTGTGTTGTTGTTATTTGTTTTTATGGGTCGAGTGCAATAATGTACCATGCCCTCGGCTGTCGGAAGAGTCTGACAGTCTCGCCCTGAGTGGGACCAAAGAAGTCATCTGATGATCTTCCATCTACATAAATAATTATTCCAGAGAGGAAAGTAAAATGCTGATGGCCCATTGGGTGGAAGAAGGGGAGAAGGAGGAAGAAGAGATTGAGGATGAACAGCAACAAGAGGAGGAATTGTCCCAAATTGAGAATTGAGATCCGTTTAACGTGGTATATGCATATTCAATTCGATCTTTAATGCGCACTGATTTCCTAGTTAACTGAATATATGATTATAATAATGTTAATTAATTATATATGTCATTTGAGGCACACCTTCAGAATGATGATGTCTATTTAAAACAATTACATTTTTAACATTAGAAGAGAAGCTTATTAATTTTCATTCATTCAAATAAAACCTGGTTTTAATTTAGCAACAGATACAAACAGAAAAAAATACTGCGAAAACCATGAAGAAAACTTTCCACAAAATAGACTGAAACAAATTGCATAATGAATTGGGATTATAAAAGTGCTATTTGTTGTAATAAAACTGTCATGGGCGCGCACAGAATGTTGAATTTATGAAGTTAGGTTACGCGTGGCCGAGGTTTGAATACAAATATATTAACCCAGATAAGCCTGAAACTAAAATTTTCTGAAAATTTTGAAAAAAGTTAAATTATTTAGTTTATTAGATCTTATGCAACATAAAAAAAATTATGAAAAAAAAATTTACTGTAAGGCTTTCAGGGAAACAGCCGTCCTATATGTAGGACAGTAGGATAATAAGAGGAAATAAAAGTCCATTTATGAAAAAACAGAATGTAATCAAAAAGTGTAGTTTATTAGATAACTATTCATTATATTGCCCATTGTTATATGTAATTTACTAGATTAACACTATTTATGTATGCCAATTCGGTAATGTTATATATTTTCATCAGACCGATCCACTCCTCCCATATATTTGTTATAGATGGACACCATATGTGGTTCTTCTATGACAATGTTTCTCTTTTCACTTTGTGAGAAGCGTTTGGCAGATTGTTTAGGATTTATTCCTACAGCATTAGAAGCAATACTGAATATATTATTGTCATGCCATTTAGCAATAATGAACGTGTTGTCATGTGTCGTTCTGTAATCGACAGCACCACGTTCCTTTTTTTTCAGTTACTTCGATGTAATCAGAGGACAACTAGATGTCCTGTTTTCTCGAACTGTCCCAGTGCAACGAAGGCCTTTCTTTGTTATCTCTTCCAGCAAGGGCGTTCCAGTAAAAAAATTATCAAAAACTACGTGGTAAGGAAGGTCGAAGCCACGTGAAATCAGCACATCACAAAAAGTGAGAACAACGCTTGCACCCAGCCCCAATTCTTTATATATTGGATTGCACATAGTTGTAGCACCTTGGTATGGTTCCATCCATAAAACATACCCTAACCGTGTAGCACCAACCCAAGCTTTGAACCCGTACCTAATAGGTTTACCTTTTATGTGCTGTTTGCAGCCATGTCTACCATAGTAGGGGATCATGGCCTCATCTGCACTGTAATGCTCTTCAAGAGGAGAAAACTCTAAGAACTTTTTATTTAGAAGTGTAACTAGGGGGCGTACTTTTGTGTATTTGTCTTGCAAATCCAGATTATCATTGACATGAAGGTGGCGAAAAATAAAGTCAAATCTATCCCTAGTCATAACCGAGCTGATCAATTCATTCTTTGTATCAGGGGAGTTTTCCCAATACATTCTTCTACGGGGGAGCCATGAATAACCACTAACCAACAATATGCCGATGAAACATTTCATATCTTCAGTGGTTATGTCTCCAGGCAAATTCTTTTTGATGGCATATTTATTGCTCTCTGACACCAACAACGAAATAACATCTTCATCTAAGAAGTTTTCAAACCACTTATCTTGGCAAGCGCCTTGAACATCTGGCCAATTCACGGGATTTTTTGTTAAATTCCGTTTTCTCCATGCGTAGGTACGCCTACGTTTAGTTCGACCTGTAGAATCAGAAGGTTCTTCTTCTGTATCACTCACCATAATCTGCCCTTGAATCATTACTTCAGCCGGTTGAAGCAGAATGTTTCGTGGCAAATTATTCAAAGTTACATTGTCTTCTTCACCAGAATCTTCGTCAGTGAGACAGTCAGGATCCACAGGAGGAGGTAGAATACATATCAGTCGTTCTCTATAATCTTCTTCATTGTCAGAAACATTTTCTAAAGCATCTAAAATTTCATGCGCAGCTAACGGTCTGTAAAGAAAAAGTTGTATTATTGTACTAAAATCATGTATATTATCCTACTGTCCTATATATAGTACGCTAGTATTTGTAACAAGTTATACGTAATTTATTTATATTATTTTGCTAGAATATTTATTTAGTACAAAAGTTAAGGTTATCAACTAGATATTTACACAGAAAAAAACAACTCACGAGTAAAATATATCTTTTTATACATACCTGTCATTTGCCATGTCTGCAACGCACTTTTATTACACACTTATAAGGTAAAATATAAGGTGAAAACTGTTAAAATAACTGTCTTTTTATTTTTTCTAATAAAGCTGACACGTTTCTTACTGCAAATCATAAGACTCAATAATCTTAGATAAAGAGGGTATTCTGATATTTTTTTTTATTTCTACTGTCCTAAATATAGGACAGTAGGCTTATCTGGGTTAAGAAAACATTGGACAGTTTTCATTGTCATTGCCAGTTCCGACAAGGCGACAGTTAACGTGTCTAGACGAGGTTCGTTTATTTGCGTACACCACACAGCTGATCAATTCCTGCTACCTACATTCCACGACAAAATATTTTCAGAACAAACCTACATTAATATAGGTTAATATGTTTGTATGTTTATCTATTAAACTTGAATAGATATTCGTGTTTCATTTTGCAAAGATATCAGTTTAAAGTTTTTTTTTTTAGTTTTTATCAATAATTTCTAGGAAAACTTGTTTTTTTTTGCAGTTATTGTTAGTTGCAGATGTTTTAGTGTTGTTTTTTCCTCATGTTACGAAAATAATTCGAAGCTTAATCATCTTTGCGATTATATTTGAGTGACATATAACTTATTATTGATAAAAATAATAATACATTTCATTTCGATTAAAGTTGTCTAAAGGGCTTATGCGCAGTTGGCTCCGGCCCCTCGTACGCCTTCCAAATGACAGAGACCCTGTGGTCCCGTGATTGGTAAAGACATACATAATAATAAAAGCCTGTGTCATCAATGTATACTTGGAATTAACGAACCTATTAACCTAGAGTGAAAGTATCATATTATAAGAATGTTTATCTCCAAAATTATTTAAAAACCATCGTAATTATCAGTCCCTTTTAAAAACTTAACAAAATTGTCATTTCAAATGAAAAGACACTAGTGCAGTGTTTAGTCGGTAGCGAATCAACAAAACTTTGATAGGTAAACATAGCATTGGCTCTCAGATTGCACTCTTCGTAACTTCGAATTACATAAACAAGTGGAAAATAATTTCCCGTAAAGAACGATAGTGTCAACATTCTGATGAACTTTAAGACTACTAGCTAATCAACGCACGAACATTTAGTTGGAAAATATCTATTTAAAGTGACCGATTGTCTTACGCACTAGCCGCCGATCTCCGTCCACGATTAAGGTGGGACTGCATACGGTAATCAAGATTGCCAACCGACCAGAGTCAAACCCGCCAATATAGCCTATGTCCACACGCGATTATTTTGAGGGGAAAAATCTTGAAACGCCTTCTTTCGGCCAGGGTGAGGCAAGAGGGAGTGTCAGACACTTACTGAATAAAAAAAATCCCATTCCATCTCCTCCTCTAATTCCTAGTACTTATGACGTAACTCGACAACAGTTGTAGCAATATTTTTACAAACTGGTGAGCAACTCCATACATTTGGTTTTCCTCAACACTTACTTAATTCATGCTATATTTTGAGGAAAGCCACAACTGAAAAGTGTAGTATTTGACTAATAGAAGAAATTTAAACTATCGCCGTAATAAGTAGGAATTTTATATTGCTTTGGCAAGAAAAGCAGTTTGAACATAAGGAAAAAAAGGATAGGTACACACTCCAAAACTCTCTCCGTTTTCGAAATCGGTTAAATATACAATAGACAGAAGTAAATAACCAAAAATTATAAAAGTAATACTCAAATCGCAAGCCAATTTTGTAATAAAATAATCGCGTAACTAGCGAATAAGTTCATCAAATTCAATAGTCCCTTAGAGCTTCTAATTTACAAAATATATAGGTATGTATAAAATAATAATCCCAAAAGCCGAGGCAGGTTAGTAACAATAAAATAAATGAAAGACAGTAAAATTACCTCTAAATTAGCGAATTTAGTGACAAGTAAGAAACAGTGTTGAGTGAGGATCGTCCGCAGCGTGGTCGGTGTTCCGGGCTGGTCTGCCAGTCTTGGCGGGCACTGGTACCGGAGTCTCTCAAGCCTCGTACTCTGCGCCCGGCGTATTAGACTTTCCTCGGCCAAGTAACGCATCCTCATCCGAAAGTCATTCACCTCCGAACTTCGTATGTTATCGAATTCATTGAGGCCTGGTGAAGAAAAATACAACATTATTAATATGGTATAACTTTAAATTCTTATACTATAAAAACGAAGTGCCGTTCCAAGTCTATCCCTTTGTCTGATTGTCTGTATGAACGAGATAAACTCGAAAACCACTGCACCGGGTATTTTTACGGCTTCCATTCACTTATTATAGTTGAACATACACATATCACGGGTTAATTGTATGTAACAAAGCCAAACAGGCATAGTTTTGTGAAAGCACTCAAAACTCGGCATATGCCAACAATACCATCGCCTTTTTAATACTCAGAGAGCTCACTGTATCTTACTAAACCTAGTTTCTTAGTCTACTACCTACCAAATATTATTTCTTGTTTAAAATAAATAGGAACTTTCTTACTATAGTGTCAGAAAGTGCTTTACCTAAAATATTAAACCTATCAATCTAAACAATATCTATAAAATACAATTAATAAAACCAGCTGCATCAAATTTCATTAACACTCCCTCAAGATTGTCTTTCTATCTACATAATATCTTTTTAAAACTTTAGTTCAAAGATTGTAATAAGAAAACAATCATAGAATGGCGTAACAAAAACTCTTATCTTCAGAATATAAAATAAACAATTTAATACTCAGTAGTTTAAGTTGTTACAACATATAGATACAGATTTATGTTTACAAGCAATTAAGGTCAATAACCTTTTGTGGACCCGCCATAAAGTATTTTTACAAAAAGGTTTAGTGCACATGTGCACAAGTGTAATTGATCACAATGATCAATAAATAAAAGAATAATATTATTATTATGGGTACAGTTGGAGTTGTGTTAGGTCGGAAAGTTATAGGAAGAAGAATATTTTTGGAAGCCTTATAATTTTCATAACATCTCAATGTCAAAAAATCTTTTAAAAAAGCATTTATTTCAGCATGACAATAAGTGTGTATGTTATACATATGGGCTGCCAATTTAACTTAAAAAGAAATAAACAGATGGATGCTAACAGAATCTTGTTAATTAACTAATAAATAACATTTACTGATATTTCTTATGTATTTAAAATACTAGAAATAAACAAACCACAATACTGGGACAGGCCTCTTTAAGGCACAATCACCTCTATAAAGTACCCAATAAACTTATTTGTCACATAGTTCATAAAAAATATGTGCTCAATTTTAATTTATCTAATACATAGTAATATTCACTAAATAAAACTATTCAATCCCAATAATATTTTGCTTACTCAGGGATCAAAGTTGACAAACAAACAATGAACTGGTCATAATAAACTTGCAAAACTTACTTTTTCCGATCAGACGGCTAATATGTGTGTTCAGCAATTGTTCTCCAGGTCTTTCATAAGATTTTTTGACTATCATAAGCACACCGCATACTGGTTTAATATCACGAATGCGCTTGTTCTCGTCATCAACCTCCTCAAGTACTGCGAGGGAATTGACAAACTGGAAGACATAGCTGGACATCTCATGCAACATCCCAAATAGTGGGAAGTTGACTGCCCGGTCCCATATGTCCTGCAAAGAAAGGAATACTTGTTATTTTATTGTATATGAAGCTTTTATTACATGACCTCATAGAGTAACAATCAAAATAAAAATTAGCTAAATTGTGTTTCGCCTTCGTTTGCTTTGTTTTATGAGTAAGGTTACCTGAAGCCCAATCTTTCATCCTTTATTCTCAATCCCAAATCTTCTTTGCTTAAATCTCTAATAATCAACAAAGGCCTATAGTAACTCCTTTGATATTTTATATTATAACCATGGGTAGCGCCGATAGCTCACCATCAGGTAATCCATCTGCCCATTTTGTTTCCTTAATATTCCATAAAAAAGAAGTATAGAAATGTTTGTCATCACTAGAATGTGGCAAAGTTGTATTAATAATAATAATGCACTAAATAGTAATATTTAAAAATGTAATTTTAGAGTGATTTTAATAAATATGTATAATGCACTTAAATTTTATTACACATTTTTATTTTATGGGAAAGTAGAAAAGGGTGAGCAGCACAAGGTAGCAACTACTTTTAACCAGATATATTATGGCTACCATAAAATAAGATTTAATTCTTTCAATGATTTTTACTCTTACTCTAATAGGTACATGCCCAATACCAAATAGAGAATCTCAACCATAATTAATCTCAACCATAATTACTATGTTATTGTACTTGACTATTACACAACCCGGCTACGAAAAATAACCGATATTATTAAGCACACTTACTTATATCGTACAGGTCACTTTAATATCGTAAGTCCTTGTTAATAACAAGTATTTCATAATTGTGAAAATAATAGTATAAGTTGTAATTACCTTGCATTATATAAATACCTAAAATTGAACTATTGAAATTACTGTAGCTTATTATAAACAATATTTTGTAGAAAGTTATCAATAAATTTTATTTATTTATTATTTATTTATTTATATAGTTTTATTTAAGTATACCATTCCCAACATCATTATTAATTTTTTAATCATAATGTTAAGTTGTAACTGATTTATCTACTAAGCTTTACTCAACAATTTTATTAAAAAACATGTTTTGACTACAGGTAGTAGTAATCTATGCTCCTGTTACAAAATTGCATTGCAGGATATTTGGTAAAGATATACTATAACAATTTGCCCAAAAAATGGATTTGGTAACAGAGCAAGACTGTGATATCATTTCTATATTACTCAGATGCTTTTTATTATACTTAATATAACTGTTAATTTTTCTATTTATTGACTTACAAACTTATTAATATAAGCAAAAAATAAGTTATCCAATCATCACTGTGAGCTTTATTTGTTGAAATTGCCTAGTCATAGGCTGATATCATAACATTAAATATATCAGCAAACACTGTTTACTCATGTTGTTATTCAATGCAGGGATATGAATACAATAGCATATGGCATAAATACAACATCATCCTCTCCCCTCAGTGAAATAAAAGATCATGTAAACAACATTTTCCCTAATACTCTATATAAAAAACAGATATTTTAGTTCACAATAACCCACTGAGTTATCTGTGTTGTTGCTTTTTTTATAACAAACAATAGACAGGTAAAACATTGGTACAAAAACAACATTTATAATAGATATATGCAGTGTGCAATAAAGTTTTACCACAAATCCAAGACCTGATATTTACTTTAAATACTAGAAGATCGCCAGATCCACCTACATGACAGAAAATAGTGCATAATATTGTAAACATTGTAAGCTACTTTCTAAATGTACCTAACAAATGTATCTGTCGGCATGTTACTCAATACTTTGACCTACTTTCCAAAAATGCTATCAAAATATCGTCGGCGAGAGGCGTGAGTCACGCGAGGGTGTTCCTTGTTGTCACTAACCTCTTTGACATCCTGGAGAGTGGCATCCCAACTTATCCTCAGAGGAATGTAAACAGAGTTCGGTAACAAACACGTGAGCTCTACCACGTCCGATGGCGAGGACGTCCAGTAGTCCCACGTAAATGGACAGCTCGGCGCAGGCACCATTGTTTTGGTAATCTTTTTCCCAGGTTACCCGAATTACCCCCGCGACATTTTACAAACTTTCACTTATAACTTGCGTCTACAGCGACCCGGTCGCTGTCCCCAACTGAAAATAATATACACAACACATCAGTCAATGTTGTTGAAACCACAATGATGTTGAATCATAGCATTTCCTGGTATTTTACGACGGGCATATCGCCATTCGAAACAAAACTGTCAACTTAAATATCATTCAAACAACATCCGAACAAGTATTGGAATCCTTTATTTTATTACCTCTTCATAAAATGTTTACATAATTCATATAATAGAAGAAATTGTCGAACGTAAATTATTAAAATATGTTTTTGTGAAATCGTAAATAAAGATTACGTGCAACAAACTATGAGCAAAGTAATTGTTTATGGTTTAGCCAATGTTGCCAATGCATAGCAAAAATAATGTTAGTCTATTAATCAACAGTCTCAAAAGACTAATAGCCGAAATGAAAACAACTTTTATGAAATATTGCTAAAGAATAAATTTCTAAAAACTAAATAATTTGACATAATACCGAACTAATATAATAATTAATAAAAACTAATATAATAATAAATAAATTGTATATCTAAACGATGAAATACATAACATAAAATTAATGATTATCATACAATTCCTTTGCCTTGCAAGCGTGATAGTCGGCTGCCTGCCAAGAGTCATGTCGACCAAAGGTCTCACTCATTGGTTGAATTTGTATATTTTCCTAGTTACCTGAAAAAAATAAAGTTTTTTTATAAAAAGTGTACCTAAGGCACCAATCTGAAAAACAATGCAAAGTTTATTTAATATAACAATATTAATATAAACTTATGAACGCATTTTAACCTAAAAAAATATTTGACGTTTGTCTCGTGACAGACAATATTGAAATTAACTAAAATTGGGCAATATTGTTTAGCAATGAGAGCGTTTTTATGAATGCATTGTGCTAAATAAAATGTTTGAACATTCAGTCAAGGTACCAAGACATTACAAAATTGCTGCTAATATCTTTAAGAAAGTTTCTACTGAAGGCGGCAGCGTTAAGACTTTGTTGTACGACGATAAACTTCGGCATTTCGTAAGTTTTTTCACGAGTTTTGTTAGTTTTCTCTGTTTTTATATGTTGTACTACTATTAGTTTATCATATTTGCAGAGGACGAATGTGCTTTATGCACTGATAACAGAAACAATCAAACATGCAAGTCACATAAACAAAATATTTGAGAACAGTAAAATATTAGAAAACGAATCACGTTTAGACCCATGGCTAGCCAAAATTCTGACAGCAGAACTCCTATTCGGCAAAAAGGCTCTACCTGGCAAAAGCAAGCCGGAGCAAACAGTCCTCTCGTACAAAGAACAGTTTGAGAAATTTTCATCTGAACACAAAGACGACTTCGAGACTAAAGGTAATATTTTTTATTCTTTTTCAGATCTAATATCATCATAAACTAAGTACAATGGCCGACCAAGGAGATGCTCCGAATGCTCCAATTTTATCACAGCAATCGAAACAAGTGTTAATAGTATTGGCAAATCTATTTTTCTATAGTGTTGCCATGTTCACTCTACCGTTTATTGCATTTTTCGGTGTTCGCCATATGCTAACTCTTAATTATCCAGATAACACATTCTTGGTGAATGTGTGGTCTGTGGCGTCTTCTGTTGTGGTAGTGAATATTATTATTGGTGCATATGTGTATAAAGCGTACTATGAGAAGGAATATGATGAACATGGCAATGAGATAGACCAGCATGCATATCCGCCACCAGCCCCAACAGCTGAAGTTTCGACTGTGAAGAGCAGTTTGAACTTGAAGCATGACTGATGCATTTATGAACATTCCTTTACACATACAGTATTACTCTATCTGCTTTTACTGCATAAAACATTTGTAAAACAATTGATACAAGTTTTAAGAACAACATGTTTTGTAACTGTGCAATGTACATTTGTAAGAACCAAATTGAATAGTTAGAATTAATTAAATATTAAACTAAACATAAAAAGTTCTGGCTTTTATTTTGTCTTATTTGTATGTGTTTTTTTCTCTAAGTTTGGCTTAAATCAAAACTTTGTAAATATTACAAAGATTGAATTCCAAAATATGTCTATCGTTGGAATGGAGTCATAGACTAAATCAGTAGAGGCTACTTGCCTAGTTTTTACCTTTCTAAACCAATTTTAGACTTCACAGTCTCTTCACTAGACATGTACTTATTTGGTTATAACTCCACTTGCATTAAACGCATCTATGAGGCCTCTGATGGCTTACAATCATATGGTCTGTCTATTTATTGACCAAGACCAGCATAGATATTACCTCACGTAATCATCATGTAAGTCACAAGACATCTATTGCAGAACAAACCTCAGAGGACCATCTCATACTATTCTCATTATATTATTCTGATATGTGATGAAATAACACTCTGTTTTTATCTAAATCATATTCCATCATTTACGATATTTTCCAGTTGAAGAAAATCACAGTGTAACAGATTTTCGCAACCTAATCCATCCTGAACAACTCTCCCATTATATTAATTGAAATGTTATTTTGCCTATTCAGTTGCTCCTAGACCTAGGTATGTTCGTATCAACACCAATCTTCTTACAACATCCGACGCGATCAGAGCGTTCCAAGATGAGGGGTACCGCTTCATACGGTGCACGTCAGGATCCTATGCGGACTACTTGGAACAGATACAAAAGCTGACTGAAGAAGATTTCACACAGGACTACCACGTAAAGACCATGTTCGTATTTGCAGCTGGAACCAAACTCCATGAACATGAATTGTATTTGGAAAATAAAATTATTCTCCAAGATAAGGTAAGCAGGTTAGATGTTAGCATACTTTATAGAGATTTTTGATTTAGACAGATTTTTTATTTTAATATACCTAGCAATAAAGCTTAAAAATCTGATGAAGTCTATTCCTAAGTTTAGGATAACTAAGTCTAAGTACAGATTTAAAATCAACGACAGTGAAAATAAATAAGTGGCTCAACAAAAAAAAAAACGAATATCAAAGACTGCCAACCTACGCACGTACCTACTTTATCTGCTAATTTTAAACTTCGAATTTCGAATCATTGATTCTACTTATAGCGGTTATAAAATACTAAAAGCAAAATTATTTATTTAAACAATTTTAATTACACAGTAAATAGTACAGTAGCTTGTAATTATATTACCTACTTTGTTTTATTTATTACCAGGCGACTGCCATGGCTGTACATCTGCTAGCTCCTCCTCCGGGCAGCGTAGTGTTAGACATGTGTGCTGCACCCGGCATGAAGACAACGCAATTGGCGGCCTACTTAAGAAACAATGTAAGTAGTTGCCTACAATTCGTTTTATTGTTAATGGATATCAAAGAAGTTACAAATCCGTTCAGAATTAAGGCCGTCGAAGCCTTCCGAAGTTGAAGAATTTGTGCCGAAGCATAGTTCTTCTAATAATGTCATAAATACAAAGATTGTATTATTTTAAAATCAGTTAAAACTAGAATTTTAAAATACTTATATTGTGCCATAAGTAATTGTGTAATCTACAAATTGTTGTTTCGGGCCTCAATAGTTAACGCACCCACGACATAAGAAAATCTTAACGCAATATCTTTATTTAATTAAAAAAAAGTGTATAATTTTTAAATATTTTTTAATAAATATATTGTCTGTAAAAGATCACTACTAAAATATCCATGACATAGTCAATATCCGATCATGCAAGAGACCCTTCATCCCTTTATTCCTTACAAACCTTCAATAAAAGTTTTATAAATGTTATTGCGTTCATCAACACGGCTTAGTTAGGTATCAAAGTATTTAAAGTTGACCATAAAGAGTAGCTAATATAAAATACTAAATTACTCATAAACACTAGTGTATGAAGGGGCATAAAAATATAAGTAATAACACCACTACAGTAGCAACTTAATTTCGCTCGAACGTAGAAATATTACCGCAATATTGCTGCAGAAACGGGTCATGTGAAATTGTAAAAAAATTGTGTGTAAAAGCAACTAAGTCGACGTTACTCCTAGACCCTTTTTAAAACGGTATCAAACCTCTATTAGCCATTTTGTGCCAAAAATTCGGTAATATTTTGTTCATAATCGAATAATCATTATGAACTTAGGCTCACACCAACTAACCATTTATTAAAAATAGCGACTTTGTCATGTGAATCGACTGGGAAAAGTTTTACTTACTAGTTTCAAGCCACAATTCTCTTATCAAGGTCAGGACTGTTATCAAGATTGCGTAGCGCGACGTACAAACTGCTCAAGATTAAGGCTGGTTTTACAGTCACGCGTTTCGGCAGCGCCGTCGGAGCGCGCGCGCTCGGATATGTATTGGGGTATTAGTAGCGTTTCAAATTCGCGCGCTTGAGCAGCGCCGTTCGTTGAACGCGTCCTATTCGCGCGGCGCGGTCGAAGCGCGCGCCGCTCGTGCGCTTCTACGGCCATTGTGCGTTTTAGTCTCACGCCGTTGAGACGTGCCGTTAGGTACTGTTGTGTACAAAATGAATCACATCGATACGGGTCGAGTAATTGACGAAGTGCGAATTAGAAGATGTTTATGGGACCCGGCCGATGATTTTTATAAGAATAAGGACGCAAAAAATAAAGCCTGGGAAGAAATTGGAAAGGAATTGTGTGAATTGTGTGAAATCAACACCTACTGTTCTTCGACGTTTTTGTTGCCTTTTTTTCCATAAAAAGTAAATAGCCAGTACTCTAACCGCATTGCCGTTCATTTTGTATCTGTTTGTACACGACTGTCAGCAGCGAAACGCGACGTACTAATGTCGTTTTATGGTGCACCGCTGTTCAAACGCGCGCTGTCCAACAGCGCGCTGTCCAACGGCGCGTCTAGCGGCGTGACTGTAAAACCAGCCTAAAAGTCCCGTCGTGATTTCAAACCAGTAGTTATTTTCAATACCTAATCGTAGTATCCCTCACGTAGCTTACTGAGCAAAAAAACATAAAATTAATTAATTTTCAGGGTCGAGTTTACGCAGTAGAGAGAAATGAAAAGAGGTACCAAGTCCTATGCGATTTTGTTCACAAAACTGGGTCTACATGTGTTGAGGCCTTGCACAAAGACGCTCTGGAAATCAAGAAGGGAGACTTGGACAGTGTCGAGTACATTCTTCTAGATCCAAGCTGTTCTGGATCAGGTAATCTTGAGTTCAATTTACTGTTAGAATTCAGTATATTAGTCGAATTTGTGTTCAATAAAATTCACTGGAAAGATAAAATTTGCAAATCGGTTATTTTGTTAGGTTTAAAAAAATACCTTATTATTGTTTTAGTGTTATAAAACGTTAATCCTAAGCAAGTAAAATTAAAGTTTGTTATTCTTTATCACAGGTATGGACTTCTGCGTTCACAGCTACATAGAAAGCTCAAGACTCGCCAGACTAACATCGTTACAAGAGAAATTCTTGAAACACGCCATGAACGCCTTTCCTAATTGCAAGCGAATTGTATACAGCACTTGTTCCTTATACCCAGAAGAGAACGAAAGAGTAATAACAAATGTGGTGAAGACCTCTAGAGCAAAGTGGAGGGTCCAAGATGTGAAAGAACTATTAAAAGGCCAGTGGAACAACTTTGGTTCAGGTATGTACGGTTCTATAGGTACCAGATGCCTGTACTCTAGACCAGACTCCGATTACACTACTGGATTCTTCTTAGCGGTTCTCGATAGGGACCAGAAAGACATGGAGAAAAGTTTGAATGCTGAAAAGCAAGCGCAGAAGCAATGGCAAGCGGTAAATAAAGCGAAACCGCAAAATACGGAAGCATTAAACGAAGATGACAATAAAAATGGATTTAATGAAGAACACAATGAAAGCAGTCAAGACTTCACTGAAGAAATTGTCGAAGAAAAATCAAAATCTAAAAAGAAGAAACATAAATCGGAACATAATACCGATGAAAATAAAGAAACTGATCAGAACGAAGTTAAAGAAGCTGAGATAACAGATGAAGCTCCAAACAAGAAGAAAAAGAAACGTAAAACTGATAAAAATAATGTAGACAATGTTATAGATCAATTGGACGATTTAAGCGTGGAATGTGAACAAGAGGTCCTTAAAAAGAAAAAGAAGAAAAAAGATAAACAGACAGAAAATCAATCAAATGAACCAAATATGTTAATAGATATTTCCGACACTAACGGAGATACTCAAGAACATAAAAAGAAAAAGAAACGAAAGAAAGATTTAGAAAATGTGGATGATGGAGAAACTGAAACTGAAATTAAGGAAAAGAAATCCAAAAAGAATGATTCACAAGAATTAGAAATGGACAATGCAGAAGAATTAGAATTGGAAGTGCCTAAAAAGAAAAAGAAGAAGAAATCTAAAGGCGATTGATGTTTAAGCTGCGCTTATAGATTTTTCTATGTTTTTTATTACTTTGTGTTAATACCAACAAAGAAATACAATCAAGAATTCATTAGTCTTTGTGTTAAATACAATCAAGAATTCATTTGCGCGTTTTTATTGTTCTCTCCGTATATAATTTCACAATAGTAATGTTTTATTCGTTGTTGGTTGACTATATGATATAAACGTAAAAAAATTCGAAAATCAAATTATGAAATAAATTTATTTTCCCATAAATTATCATTATAACAAGTTTAGTGCTCAGAACGAAGATTTCCACAAAAAAGGTAGAACTTCGTTGGTAACTACGTGACAACTTTGCTAAAATATTTAACAATCACTCATTTGACTGCACAGTTGGCAAGATTGCTGGGCAACTGGCTGCTGCGCAATTTTGGAAAACCTCCTACCCCCACCTGAGGAATAAAATGACATTAAGTCATTTTTTCTTTCTATCACCACATCTTCAGAATCCAGTTGCTCGCTACGACGCTTGAGTCCCTAATTACTATTTTAACATACTGGGCTGCCCTTCTTATGTGAAATTGTATGTCGTAAACGCACCGAAGGAAAATTATAATGTGAGACGTTTTTAAAAAAAAATCCTTAAAAAAATATATGCTTACTTAAATATATTTATAGCGACATACGTACCTACATTCTATGGCATAACCACCACACCTTATTTTTTTTTATGGTATAAGTCGGCAAACGAGCAGACGGATTACCTGATGGTAAGCAATCGGCGCCGCCCATGGACACCCGCAACAGCAAAGGAGATACGAGTGCGTTGCCGGTATTTTGGGGATGGGGGTTGCGGATATAAGGATTGGGAAGGGGGAGGGATTGGGCCTCCGGTAACCTCACTCACACGGCGAAACACAACGCTGTGGGTTGTTTCACGCCGGTATTCTGTGAGGCCGTGGTATCACTCCGGTCGAGCCGACCCATACGTGCCGAAGCTTAGCTCTCCCACACTTACATTACCATGGAGAAACCCCGCTCTCACTACTGAATATTCATAAAATTTTTAAGAGTCACTATTAAATTATGCGTAAAGTGTGTTTTCGCATAATTCAATAGTGTAATTCAACATTTCTGTCGTCTAGACTTGCAATTACAATCACTATCAGACACAAAAAAATCACTTCTCCAAGTGCTCAATAAATCTTGTTTATAATAGTGGGGCAAATGTCATAAACGACAATTATTTCGTCTAGCCATCTTTTCTTCGAAATACAAGAACACTACGATTCTTTGTTGTCCTTACTACATTACAATTTCAACCATATTTTGTTACTGTTAGAAGTCAGGTTTACGTGGAGAAAAGGAACAACACGCTACGCTGTTATGGTGTCACGAATGTGCCGTGCGCCCTTATTTTCTTTGCATATTTCGTGGGTCGTATGAAATTACGATTGTTATAGTAGGTTATGGGTTCTGACAATACCTATGATGACGGGGTACCTAGGTACCTTGTTCGCGCTCCAAGTTTGTAAACGGTTTAAGTATAACGCCGCAGGACGTTTCAGACTCATTTTTTTATGTGATTTGTCGGCAAACGAGCAGACGGATTACCTGATGGTAAGCAATCAGCGCCGCCCGTGGACACCCGAAACGGAGGAGTTACGAGTGCGTTGCCAACCTTTTGGGAATTAGGGATTTGGAAATTTAGGGATTGAGGAGGGGATGGATTGGGCCTCCGGTAACCTCAATCACACGGCGAAACACGATGCTGTGGTTGTTTCAAGTTGTTTCAATCATTACTATAAATTGATCTATATGGTCATCAAAGTATCAATAAAATTATTTTTATGTGATAGGTCGGGAAATGAGGTTACGGATTACCAGATGGTAAGCAATCGGCGCCGACTACGGATACCCGCAACTCCAGAGGAGTAACTCTGGTGTTGCGGGTATCCGTAGTCGTAGTGCGCTGCGGGACTTTTGGCACGGGATTAAGATCTCGGACGCTTGCCTCTCCCACACAAATATGAAAACATTATTAAAAAACCCACACAACAAATATTTCAATACATAAGTATTTGAATAAAGATTATCCAAATTTAAAACATAAATCACTGGCACTTTTTACAAAAGAGGTTTTTTTCCTGTAAAAAAAAGTATCACAATTTTTTCTAAAGAGGGGGGAATACATCATTAAACGGCTTCTTCCTGGGTGAAGCGAGATGGAGTATTAGACTCTTACCCCCTTATTACAAAACAAGCTTTATCTTTAGTCCAGGTTTAAACCATTGAATCGGGTTTTGAATTTTGAATCTTATTGTCATCTACCTTCAATTCGAAATAGAAAAACTGGCTCAGTGGTTTAGTCCTAGACTAAAGTAAAACCTTTGTTTTGTAATAAGGCCGTTACTGTCTAAAAACCACCCCGTTTCTTCTACTTCTCCAGGCTTGCAGCCGCAACATCGGCGCTATTGAACCGTATCTGTGGTGGTCTAATGACTTTATGAAGCACGCGCCGTACGGTCGTGACATGAAGTTGAAGTAAAGTTAGTATGTGTATGTCAGAAAAAATTGGAAACACATTTCTCGCTTAGATCTACGTATCAACATTCCACGGGTAAAGCGAGTACCTATGCAATCAAAACTATTTAAAACTTATTGATTAACGATTTTTAAGATACATTTCATAGCAATAGGGCTTTTTTTCGCAAATCAAGTCTAGAATGACTTTGTTGCTAGTTACGTCAAGTCCGTTGGTAGCTTTGACCGATTAAACATGGTTTACCTACTTAAGCTTACAGTTATTTTGATTGATTAACTTAATAAAGCTTTAGTCATTCAGTTATTAAGTATTATTTTGTTTACGTACACTTTAACTTATATTACCTAATAATAGTTAAAATTACGATTACCTACCTAAGTATACAATAGATAGGTAAATTATATTTAGAAATAAAAAGTTTCGGCTTTGAAGAAGGGTTCGAACCTTCGAGAAAATTTTGTGATCACTACGAAATCGTACTACATACTATCTTATTAGGCCCAGTGTATTGAAATGACTTGTTGTCAATAGTTGAAAAGCAAGGAATAAAGCAGTCTTTATGATCTCTTCACATCCTTCGACTTTACTTTCTTTGAGTGAAGTCATTTCTTTCATTAAAAAATAAACCTAATAATAGGTAATAATTTAGAACGTTTAGTAGGTCAAGCAAGCCCTTTAGGTAATTATGAATTAGGTACAAGACTTCGTTATCGTGTTTCTTAGCCTTGAGCTAATAGGAAAAACAACTAACTAATGTAAAAGCAGGCCTTAGCGGGCGTGTTCAGATGAATCGATTACGCGTTAAATTAGTGAAAATAGGTTTTGGGTGACCAAGTTAGCTTCATTACGTAATAACGTTAATGACGATTTTAAAACAACTGTAGGTATATTCAGAACTTAATTTAAATTTTAATATTTTTTTTTAATAGTAACTATCTTGTGACATTTATTTTATTGGAAACTAACTTCCGCCTGCGTCTTCGGCCGCGTGCTGTGTTGATAAAAAGCAGTCAATAGAAATAGAAAAAAATCTAAGTTTACATAAAATGTGTTATTAATCGTCTCATTTTTATGGCTACATCTCCAATGGGGAAAAACTCGAGGCATTACTTACTAAGTCTCCGCTATCCATATACAGAATGGTACGGATCTAAGTATTATAAATATTTCATTGAAAATAATGACGCAATTACGTATATTAACTATAGCTTTACTTGACTTTTCAATATACCTAATATGTATTTTTAACTCTTATCCCAAAAATGTATGTCGCTTCTTTGTATTTTGGAGGCCAATCTCAATTTCATACCTTTTCAGTAACAAAAGGTTACTAAAAAAGTAGATATCTATTAGGTAAATTTTTGTTATTTACCTAACGAAATCCGTTGCTTAGCAACCCGAGTTGTATCCTCCAAGCGAAGCCTGTAGGGCGGGCGTAACACAGGCGGGCCTACGTCCAATCGATTCCCGACCAATCAGAGACCGGATGCCCGATATTATGACACTGGTGTCACTCAGTGCCTGTCACTCAATTACTCCACAAGGTAAAATGAACTCTAATGATTTGTGTTGGAGTTGAAATTGTAGTGTGAGCATAGAAATAAATGAGCCTACGTTATTGGCTGTCAGGATTGATGTTTTCACCGCCCATAAGGTTGTTGATTTACTGAATTGTTGGATAATAAAGGCCTTTGATGTTTTATACCTACAAGCGACGATAAACACAAATATAACATAATTCCGTAGTGAAATCAGGTACGAGTGTAAGGTTTATTAAGAGAATTTAAGTATAGTACTATGTGTACTTATGTTTATAGATATATTTAAGTTTCATTTTATTCTTAATGGATTTCTTCTTTATTGAATTTATTGCAGCTACATTTCGGCCAGGGTTTTGGGGCAAGCCTAATAAAGTTATTCAGTAAGAGATTGAAACCTCTCGCCTTATTTCTTACAAATATATTTGAGTTTTTGTTTAATAGTAGTTAGTATTGTTCATTCAGAACTATTTCTTTCGAAAACATAATTTCCCTTCATTACCTAACAAGGAAGTGAAGCGTATTGTCAGTGCGTGCTAGCCTCCATAAACCAGTTATCGCTAACAATCGGCCGCAATACCTTATTTATTACACTACATTGTTATTATAATAAATGCGTCCCAACGTATTATTACAAAACTTACAGGGTCGTAGGAATATAATAATATTCTTATCAAAATATTGACACGTTCTTTGAAGTAAAAGAACTGCCTATATAATATGTTATTACCTATTTAATGTAATAAAATTGCTAATATCTCGCAAATTGCTCGCGGGCTACGCATAAACATAAAATAAAAGCATACATTTCCTTACTGCGAATTTGACGTTATAATTATTATAAAATTTTTGACAATTGAAATCAACCAAAAAAACATCGATAAAATATCAACGCGCTTCAGAGTGAAACGCTGCTACGCCGTAGCGCGACTACGAGTCGTAGCAATTGCTACAATCGAGTAAAGGAAATACCAAAGATATTAGTTTTTATGAC